ATATATATATATGTGTGTGTTTGTGTATATCTATATACAGGTGAAACTCGAATAATTAGAATATCGTGCAAAGCTCATTTATTTCACTAATGCAACTTAAAAGGTGAAACTAATATATGAGATAGACTCATTACATGCAAAGCAAGATAGTTCAAGCCGTGATTTGTCATAATTGTGATGATTATGGCTTACAGCTCATGAAAACCCCAAGAACCCCAAATCCACAACCTCAAAAAAGTAGATTATTACATGCAATCAATAAAACAAGGATTGTACATAGAACAATATCGGACCTCTGAAAAGTACAAGCATGCATATGTACTCAGTACTTGGTTTGGGCCCCTTTTGCAGCACTTACTGCATTTACTTTTGCACGATATTCTAATTATTCGAGTTTCACCTGTATACACACACACTTTTTTTTTTTTAAACTTCTGTATAATGTCTAATCAAAATTTTTTTGATTTGATTTTTTAATGTTATCTTTTCCATTACTGGGAGTAAATGGGTTCTGCCATCTGAGAGACATGATGTCATCATTACCTCACAGGAAATTCTCTTTGCCTGGCATTGGATCTGCCATAGACAAACATTGGGCCTCTAAAGGGTGGTTCTTGCCCCACCCTAATGCTCCTCCCTGTCCTCGCTCTTTTATTAGTTTACTTGTATTAATAGAAGGGGAAACCTATAGGTTGGGGCTGGGAAGAGTTGCAGTGTTTGGTCTCTGATTCTTATTCAAGTATAGGAGCATAATCGGGGGCCCTCCCTATAATGAGTCAGCCTGAGGAGGTTGCCTCAGGTGGCATCTCTTAGGGTCATGTGGGTGCCCCTTTTGAGGCCAGAGCATCCCAGGTTGCTGTTAGCAGGATGCTGTAGCTGGCAGTCAGTGAGCTGGACAGCCCACCAACATGCTCCACTAGCAGCCCCTGGGAACATGCTCAACTAGCACATCCCTACCTCCTGGCCGCCTCAGGCGACTAAAAGTATAGTGACGCCCCTGAGCATAATGACATACTAAAAGGGGCGTGGGGAAAGACTATCATCTCTGAGCTATGCAGCCAGAAGAGCTGAAACTTGTGCTGACCATACACCTATAGATGATTTGCAGACTTTCTATGGTCAGATGGAAAAAGTGCAACAGATTCTTCCATCTACGCTAAACTGTATGGATGGAGTAATCTCCCACCGGGCCAAGCAGCGTGACCACAGAGTGAAGTGGATAATGCAGATAAACACTTTTTTTTTTTAAAGAACATGCAGTGACAAAGAAGCAACTTGATCAGAGCATAGCAACAGGCAAGAATGTCCCATGTGATACCAGGTCACAAGCAGAGGAGCTACTCTATCCATGCTAGATTGCTGGCAGGAGGGGGGATATAAATTGCAGACGCAGAGTGGGGTAAATCATCCACTTGATAAAGAGACAGAGACCTGAAAAATGTCAGAGGAGGTACCCTTTTTTTTTTCCAGACTGCCAGCTTGGTCTCCCCTAGTGTGCAGATTTACAACTGAAGTTGAGATTGACATCTTCCTCTTCTATTGCCCCTGCTCTGGGTTTGCATTGGAGATAACAAGGCTGGAAGGCTGTTAAGTCACTGCTGGGAGGGAGGAGCTACTGAAAGAAAAGTGCTTAAGCTGTTCAGTTTAAGGATTATTTACTCCATAGTGTATGCAGCTAAGGAGGTCGCTGAGGGCTTGTTTGTAATGTCCATAACCTGACCACAGTTGCACTTTAAGAAATGATCAGACGATCAAGATTTTTCGTTTTATGTAATATTGCATGCACTATAATTACTGAACCATGACTAGCGCTGCTGACAGGTTTGAAAACCTATAATTATATTTTATGGAATCCTCCATGACAGCACCACCTGGAGCATCTGTCTCTGCCAGGCAGTTGATTCAGGAGTCACTTAGCGGAGGCTGCAGCAAGGTAGTGATGTGACTGATTTTTAGAAGAATGCCACCATCTCCGTAAAAAATCCTAATTCTAACATAAGGCCATAATGCTATTGTTCCTGTGCAACGGGACAAGAAGGTGTTGAGGACACGTGTTGTAGGGCAGGACCTTTTATTGCACCAGTTCAAAGACAGGGCCAAAGCTTGCCATTAGCTGACAAGTTGTTGACTAATTTGTTGAGTTCGCAAGCATCACTTATGTTTTTTGGGTTCCAATTAAAGTGTACTAATGACCATCAATGACCGGATGCTAGTTTGTGATGTCACTGCTCCAAATATATGGTTTATCTACATCAATGGTATCAAGCAATCCATTATAACCCTGCCCCATTCTTCTTTGTCTATGACAAACATTCTGTGGGTCTAACTTATACCATGAAAGTAATTAAAGGAGAACTATGGGGTCAGTGTTTTTCCCCATAGTTCTCCTTAGGGTAACTGGAACTGAGAAACGGAGGATATATATGTTAATTGGTGATTCAACCATTCTGCATCTTTTCCAGGGCTCACAACAGCATTAAATATGAATGTAGCTGAAGTTCATGTTGGAAAGATGCCATTCGTCTGCGTGGAGGAAGAAAATCTGACAATGTTGTGGAAAAGTGACAAAGCCACAGTAACTGCAGCGTCATAGAATTGATAGGACTGAAGGTTTTCTCTTTTTAAGTATAGCATTTCATATGCAAAAATATCAATATTTTAAACCAAATTGCCTTATTTTGGAAAAAAATTATATATCAGGTAACATAGGCTTGAAAAAAAAAAAATCGATATCCTGTGGTGCTACAATGAGGTGTGTATCAGCGTATTGTTATAAAACAACCAGGTTAAAACAAAAAAAATGGGAACTTATAGAGCATATAACTGCTGTTTATCGACCCTTCTGCTTATTAATATGTATTGCACAGATTTAATTATCTTTGACGTTAGAATTTGTACGTTTCTGACGCGTTATTTTAATGCAAGGTGCTTGGAGCACTAACTGACTATTCATTGCCACTCGGCTACTTATACTATGGCAAGTGGATCATTAGCTTCCTTATGGAAAAAGGGGCCAGCTCTTTCTTACGGGCCCCTAGGAACACCAAGGTGTTGAAGCGTAAAGTTCAGTAATTTAGTTGGCTACAGAATCTACAGATAGATTTTATTTTGCTATGAGGAAAAAAAAAATGTCGTATATGATGGGGGGTGACTTTGCACTTAAATCTGGTGCAACACTTGCACTTTACTTCTTTTTGCAGCTGTTGAAACAAACAGATGCATCTATTGTTAGTGTGTCCTGGCTGTGAGATGTGCTGCAATCATAGCTTGAGAATCACGGCTGTAAAACAATTTATTGTCTCGACTTCTCAATATAATATTGCCCCAGTAATTTTTGCACAGTATATACTTGTATATGTCAAATAAATATTGTTGAAATGGTTTTTTTTTGCAGTTACTAAGCATAGCAAACACAACACATTACATAGGAAGAGATTACAATTTTATTACATCGGTTTTATAATAATACATTTATAATCAAACAGTCCAATGATTTAATATAGCCTCTGGTCAGCTCAGGAGTGTCTGGTGGCTGGCACAGACAATGGTAATATTTACATCATGGATAAATCTTGCCTTTTTTGGATTTATAAAAGACATCGCTGAACTACACAACCAAAAGCTCCGGAGAGAATCTTGCCTTTAGAGGCCCCAAAGAAAAGAAAACCAATAGGATCATTTGAAGCATTAAATCTGGACAGAATGGAAGAAGCAGCTTTAGGTGAACTGTGTCTTCAAATTGGCCATGTCAAATAGCAAAACATCTGTGAGGGGGATTTATTAAAACTGGAGCAGTGGCCCATAGTAACCAATCTGCTTCTATATTTTGTTTTCAAAGCTTAACTGAAGATAGAAGCTGATTGGTTATCATGGACAACTGTTCAAGTTCTGATACATTCCCCTCTGTGTGTTTCGGCTCTGACAGAAGCAACAACTCATGTGCCCGTTATAATAGTTTTTTAATAGTTTTAAGACAGTGGCTCATTGGCTCAAAATTTGTATGTGGCACATCGATAATTGTATCCATCAGATCCTTATCACACACATCCTTCATGATGCAAGACTTTATTTAATAACTCTGGTACCCGGCTCCCAATGTAATAAATATTGTAGTCTTCCTAGATCTGCAAATGGAATAAACAGTCCGGGAACCAATGTTAGATTCGGCTAGGTCAGAGAAAACGATAATTCAGGGTTAAGGTGCCCATACACTGTGCGATTATCGCACGATAATCGCGGGAAATCCCGCGATCATCGCAAAGTGTATGGCAGGCATGCGACCGTTTTTACTGTCTTTTGTCTAAGGAGCATGTTCGAAAACCAGCTGAAAATCTTACGATTTTCGGCTGGTTTGTGGCATGCTCGGGAGACAAATGCCAGACGGGCCGGTGTGCGCACGCGCACACTGCCCGTTCAACATTGCGGTCATCAGAAGCATCTGCCTGTCCAAGATAGGCAGATCGTACGTTTTGTAAATTACTTTACAACCATCGCAAGACCAAGGTCTTGCGATGGTTTTAAAGTGTATGGCCACCTTTAGGCAACCTTGGCACTCCAGCCCTGGTAAAGCTTCAAGTTCCATGAGGGACTGCAAGGCTCTGACAGCCACATGCATGACTCCCAGAGCTTTAGTACTGAGGTTGCCTACTCCTGAGATAATTGCACTGAAACAGGATAGTCCATTTCAAAACCATGCTACCAATATTCTTTACAAGTTCAAGATATACTACATTTCTAGAAATATTAGCAGGCGTTGTGTGTACTGCTGGAATGTCCATCCCTAAAAATCTGAACGTCCCCTATTTACATCCCCCCATTTGTCTCCTCCTAATCCAGTTACATGTAGGGATGTTGTTGTTGATGAGACGTCTATGGCAATGAGGATGTTGCTTTCTGAAGAAGCTGAACCATGATTGGATAAACTGGAGCAAATTCCTTGCCTTCTCTGGCTTTCACACTCTGCACATAAGCCTCCAGCGCCCCTCTGGGAAATGAAATGAACATAATTAGGATTTTGTAGATGACAAGCACACACAATCACACTACAGCACAATTGTACATTACTGTAACAGCAAAAATGATAACTACACTGCTGAGTACTCACAATATGATTTCATGTCAAATGTTGGCCAATCTGTTCTTGTTCTCTATACTGTAACACGCTGGTGCTGTGTGTTTCAGCCTGAGTGGGGAATCATCTACTGTGTCCCATACAGAGTATGTGCATGCTAGGGGGTGATCTCACAAAAGTCTGATTCACACCAGCACACGTTAATATGCACATAACGTATGCAATGGTGTACTGTTTGATCGCACACCGCAATGTGTTGTTGAAATGGATTACAGTATGATCATTCTTATGCACTGAGCTCGTTACAATACATGGGAATGTGCTGCACAACACAACATACTACTTGTTGCTGATACATGTACTCCTTTTATTTTTTAGTACATATTAAGGTAGCGTGCTGAGGAGAACGGATACAACAGCGCATAAAGCAAATTGCCTTTCTCTTGTGTTAACAAGCCCTTATAAAGACTCTTGGTTTGAGCCTTCACTTTTTATACTGCCCACTTTGTCAGACATCCAAATATAATGATTTTCCCTCCACTGTTCTTAGACACATTTCCACTGCTATGGAATCCCATTCTCTGATGATTGCATGGATCTGTAGTTACAATTACACATTTCATTTGCTACTGAAATCTGGTTTTACAGAAATCTGTAACTGTACAGATAACAGTGGTGACCTATCTACACTACACAGTGCTCTATAGCTAAGTCACTTTGAGGTGCCACATTACAGAAAACCTGAGAGAAATACTAGAGCTGCCATTCTTGGCCTCCATCTAAGAATACTAGTTGCCTGGCTCTCTGAATTTAATACTCTATATCACTGATCCAGAACAAGCATACGGCTAGTTAAAACCCCCCATTTTCTAACTTCTTCTCTATCAGGGCCTCAAATTGTTGAAGCCATTGGATTAGCCTACAGAGGTCCCACTCTCAAATGATAACAGCAGATCATTATTGTTTATAATAGCACCCACATAAACCTGTTCCTCAATACCATCAGTGCCTGGACAAATCATTACGCAACCAGCCGACCCCTAGACATCCTGTACTGTGGTGGCCTGTAGCGGTTGTAGAGTTTTCTAGGGCTCTAAATACATCCTCCATCAAAAACAACATGAAAGTTCTATTTCAATTGGAAATCCCCTTTAAAGGAGAACTATGGGGTCAGTGTTTTTCCCCATAGTTCTCCTTAGGGTAACGGGAGGACACAAACTAGCGTCCTCCCGTTACCCAAAGCTCAGTATACCGCGAGCTACAGCTCGCGGTATACTGAGACGCCGCAGCCGGAGCGGATCCCGACGTAGATGACGGGATCCGCCCAGCTGCGTGAGTGACAGCTGGCTCTGCCTATCTAGAGGCAGAGCCAGCTGTACCCGTCCGTTCCGCCAGTCAGCGCTGGAGGATCGGAGCGGGGAGGGGGGAATCCAGCCCCTCCCCCTTTCACGGCAGAGAGCCGTGACAGGATCGGAAGGTGAGCGAACCTGGTATGTGTTCGCTCACCTCCCGATCTACTGAGCCGACCTGTGACAGTCTCATTGTCAAAGGTCGGCTAGAACTATGAGGTGAGTGGACTCACCTCATAGTTCTCCTTTAACTACCAGCAAATCCCAGATCCAAGCCCTGGTCTTTGCAGCATGAAGATGTAAATTTACATTTCACTGTGAATGGCTAAGGGCACGCTGCCTTGTGCTGTACGGTATGTGTACACATTGCAATAAGTATGTGCCGTGGTCATAATCTTGACTCTTGCCAACAGCTGTCACCGTGTAGTGGATGGGAGCCAAACATCCTCGGAGTAAAGATGTAAATTAGATGCCAGGTTTGCCCTTAGCAGCACCTTACTATTTAGCTCACACTTCTCATGGTTGTTGTGTACTGGATTGGAAAGACAAGGAAATGAGAGCGCATACTGCAGAAAAATAAGTAACAAGGTTTCTCCTGGTTTAATATTGCCTCTGAAGTGGAAGAGAATTCTACACAGGAAATCATTCCACACAGTCTGAAAGATATTGTAGGAATGAGAGGATAAATCTGCAATAAGGACTTAGTCTGATCTCATTACATATCAAATCTGCTCATGCCTTAAGCTGCTGCAAAAATGCATTTGTTTCCTTTACCAATTCAGCTAACTGCTGTCATAATACAAACATGAACATTACAATATGAAGTCTGCAAAGTAATACCATCTAACATCTTGGTTATGACAGAGAATAACTTACACGTATGAAAAATGAATACTGGCTGCATGTAGGACAGCAGCTTCTATTATCTCAATTAGTGACCATGAAAAAGTAGATCTGGAAAAATGTGAGCTGTCAACAAAACAACATGGATCCTTGTCAGTCTGCTGTGCTATCACTAAACCTGGCTGCACATGGAAAATAATGTCTGATGTAATAAATGGGAGAACTGCCTATTTATGTAACAGCTTCCAGTGATAGGTAACAGCTACAACTTTGACTCCCCAAGATGTGAATGACGTCCAGGAGGGCAGTATATTCAATATGAAGTTATGGGTAAGAACACGGGGACGTGACCTCAAACTATCTGAAGGAAAATTCAACACTAACTTTAGAAATGATGTTGCCAAAAGAGTGGTTGATGCCTGGAACAGACTTCCAGCACTAGTAGTGAGTCAGTCAACAGTAAGTGAATTCAAACAGTTGGAATAAACATAGATCTATGCTTAGACAGAAAAGAGGGGGTGGCAGGCTCAATGGACCACTTGGACTTTTTCTGTTGACACTCTATGCTTCTTCTAAACACTTACAGGCTGTATGTGCAAATTACAAAAACGCCCCTCTTATTGTATGCTACACAGGGGGAATCTCCATAATTCAACTGGAGATGTTCTGTAATACTGAAGATGCTTCCCCACTAATCCGAATAGCTTTCTTAGTTCTGAGGAACTCGGTCCTACTGAACCAGTCCATTCGAATGGAACTAACTACTAGACTATGATGCGGATAACTGAGAACCTTCACTGACAATTATTGCCATGCCCTTGGAGAAATAACCACAGCATGCCCCATTGACAAGTTACATGTTTCAATACTCTGCATCAGGACATCACCACATACATGGCATAATTAGTAGCAATATGCAGCACCCTCATTACTAGACATCAAACATAACTGAGCTGATTTAAAGTGACAGTGCTGGCAATTGCAACCAATCACCGCATTCGTATTAATTTTCAGCAGGCATTGGGCAGTGGTATGGTTGCTATGGGAAGGACAGACATCCAGGGGGCAGAAAAGCTCTGAGGTACCCCCTTCCCCCCCCCCCTAATATATAT